GTGGACAAAAATCAACACACGTATTCTCGGAATACGTTTTTAATTATAAAACGTATTTCGAGTATACGTTTTCCTTGATAAACCGTATTCCCGAAATACGGTTTATGTTAACATGATTAAGTAACGTAATTAAGGTAATTAAATTGCAAAAAAAACGTATATCTTTCTAAATACGTTTTTTAATTAAAATTAATTTTACAATTATGTTTTAATTGTAAAACGTATTTTGGAAATGCGTTTTATAAATAAAATTAATTTTAGAATTTTTAAAAACAATTTTTTTGGAGAAAATAATTTTTAAAAATTAAAAATGGATTTCCGAAATACGTTTTTAGTGAAAATCAATTTTTCCCCCAAATTGATTTTTGCCCCAATTCAATTTTGCCCTAATTTGAATTTCTCCATAAACCGTATTCTGAAAATACGTTTTATATTAAAACGTATTCCTGGAATACGTTTTAAGCTGCAGGAAAAAAAATATTTGGGATCCATTTGAAGAAACTAACCCGTTCAACCAACATACACTAATATCAATCAATCCAACATACACTATATCAATCAACCTGTTCAACCAACTAATTATATCAATCAATCCAACATACACTATATAAAAAGAGATCAAAAACTATAAATTGAAGAAACACTATATACAAAAAGGTCAAAATACGGTTTACACACAAATATGTCCACAAATTTCACTGCATACATATAAACTAACTATGAAGATGAAGGAGTGAATGGATGCGTAGGTCTGCGCAGTCGAGACCCCCTCCGGACCTGTGCGAGAGGCGTGTCATCATCAAAATCCGACACATTCTCTTCTCCTGAGTCTTCTTCAACTGAGTAATGCATTTAGTAAAAAAATCACAAATTTGACTGGAGGAAAAAAAAATAAAATAAAAAAAGACCAAATAATAATATTTTGAGTAAATAAATCTCACATTCTTCAAGCCCGAGGTTCTCAGATTGGAGGTGCTGGGGCGACGGTGGATTGGTTGGGCGTCGTTCTCGTTCTTGTTGCCGCTGTTGTTTCCCCCTTCGGACAAGGTCATTTTCGCGGTCACGGACCCGAGGTCTTCTACCCCCACCAATGTTGGCAGCGGGTTGATACCTCGCGGTGTGTGACTGTGTCTTCTGGAATGGAACGTACTCGTCCTGGGATAGAACTTGACTTGACGACGCCCCTTGTGTAAGACCTCGGCCTCCAACAGTCAGAAAAGTGTAGGCAAAGTTGAAGGACTGTTGGAATGCGGTCTCTGCCTCTGGAGGGAATGTAGGCATTAAGTGTTGAATACTTGTTAACGAGTTATAAACCCCCTCCAGTCCAGAAGTCTGAAAATAAAATTCAAAGTAATTAATATGAAACAACTTAATAAAACCCACAAATTATTATGAACACTTACCTCGCACCCTAACCGCTCGGCAATTGGCTGATAGCCGCCGGCCTGTTGGAACACCTGGTAATTCCCAGGGTTACTGATGAGTCTCACAGTCCTACTGTGAAAACAATCAAGGTAACCCTGCTCTGGCTGCAGGAAGTCATACGCAGGGGCAACTAGGATGAGATGTAGTTCTCTTTCTTCGTCAAAGGCCTTCGTAAGCGGTGAATGAAAGACAGCCCAATCACCGAATGCCCTTCCAGTCATTCCTTGGCCGGCGTGGTGTCTTGCCCAGTCTTGCTCACCCGTAATGATCGGATTTTGGGGGATGGACTGACAACACCCAAAATGACGAATGACCCTATCAGGCAAGTGTAGCTCACGGCTGCTCCAACAGAACATCCATCTCCGGTACATCCAAAATTGTTTATCTTGTGTACACTCACCCGGGAGAGTACCAGGTACTGTTGATAGGACAGCTAATCGAACTATAAAAAAAAAAAATTAATTAGAAATTAAGTTATAAAAAAAATTAAAAACAAAAAACAAGGATAAATAAATCAATAGGACTTAAGAATCTTACATCCATCTCTTCCAGCCCTGTCAACTAGTCCCGAATAGGACCCGTTCCCTTGCCTACATGTGTCAATTCTTTTTTTTCCATCCATCTCAAAATCACATAAAAAAAAAAAGAAAACAAAAACTTTGTAAGAAACAAATTTTGATAATGGAAATACCCTACGTATTAAATATAAGTAAATGTCATTACCTTACACCTAAGGGACAACCACACATTCTGTCAAACTGCGTCTTGGACGTCATTTTTGGGCGAATACGAGGAATACGCTCCCATGCCCAAACGTACACATGTCGACATATGAATTTGTTATTAAATATTAGTCGAACTTAGAATAAAAAATAATGAATTTTCAAAGAAGAAGTAAATAAACTTATCTGAATCAATTGCACACAGCTCTTGATCCACCATTGACCTTCCCTGTAAGAGGTGCACAACGCTCTATATACTGCGGTCAGGAGCGCTGAACTCCAGTTGTACCCCTTAATCCCATCTATGTCCTTCAATAGCTGCAGCCAGTAAAGATTCACGCTATTCGCCTGCTGGTCAGGAAAGAAGAAGGACCTAAGGCACCACAGGATAAGGGCCCTCGCACGAGCGTATGGCCGGAAGTCCATCTCCCAGATCGATAAAGCATTCATTTTCTAATTCTAAACCCTTCAGAAACTGGCCTTTAATGGTCCAATTAGCTGAATCTTGAGTTGCTTCCTCTTCCTGAGTGGTGGGGGGATCCTGAGAGTGATTTTTTATATATTAAAAACTATATGATTGAGTGGACATAAATTTTTTTAAAAAAAAATTATAGGAAAAAATATACCTGGACATAGGGCTGAAACCCTAACAAGTCCTTGCACCTATCACGCCATGCTTGGGGTGTTTTATCTTCCGTCACTCCCAAACAAGCAGTGCCATTGACGGGCAGACCGAACAACACCTGTACATCCTGGAGGGTGATCGTGGCCTCCCCGAAATCGAAATGGAAGGTATGCGTCTCCAGACGCCACCTTTTCACTAGACCGGTAATGACGGCGTTGTTGGTTTGGACTCGGCCCATTCGAAACAAGGGCCCGAAACCGGTCCGGTCGATCACCTCCCAAACCGACGGATGCTGCTTAGGCAAAGCCTTCCATAATTGAGTGTCGGCGGTTTTTAATCGTGTCGCTACGATATCCCTTTTTATCTTTGAAAACTGTTGTGTACAAATTGTTATTTTTACCGAGTACCGAATCGAAGGATTCGTTCCCCGGGTCGATCTCACAAGGAAGGCGGTTCGAAATTTAGCTTCGGTGTCGATTTCACACAAAAAGAAAATAAAATCCTAAACACTCTAATCAAGTAAGGGGGTTTGAATAATTATTAAATAAGAAATAAAATAAACAATAATCTACCTAAAAATATAAACGAAATAACGATAAAGAAACTAGGGAGTCAGGGATAATTAATTCAAGTTCTATTTGCACACCGGCACATTAATCATTCTATTCTAGATTGATTGACGCTCTCGCTTAAGCATCTAGCTGTTCGCTCCCAATAACTCTTCGTAACAAGGGATTGAACATAGACGAACAAACTTGAGCATACGACACAGGCCAATTATCCCAATCCCAATAACTATTCGTAACAAGGGACGAGTCATCGACAAGCACGTATTTCAATCCAAAACCTATAGACTATTCAAGTACGAAATCATCTACCTCATGCGAGCCTAAGTCTATGACTTCTCCCCTTTCAGTTCTAAAAGTCGCTAATTAAATTAGAAGAGAGTTAATCGACTAATCAGATAGAATCAACAAAACCCTAACTCGACTAATCAACATTCAATTGTTTCCAATTGCAAGACCGAAGTGTCACTCTTCGATTATATCAATCAATCAAACAAGACTTCATCAATTCATAATCGAATCAACCGCACAAGAACGAACAATTCAAGCCCGACAAATACACGTTAAACGAGAACAATCATCCCCTATCCCTAGCAATAAGAATTAGCTAAGTAATATCAATTCAACACAATCCATCATCTCTCTCAATTCAACCATTATTCATGAATTAAAAATAAAGAGAAGAACTT